AGGTTCTTCATCACAGAAGACATGAGGTGTTCCAGCTTCTTCATCACGTGTCGACAACATGTTTCACACCGTGTCAACAGCTTCAGCTTCTCTTAGAATTTTAAGGATGTAACACCAAAAATGCCAGATCTTTGGTGTGAGGTTTTCCTTGTTTTGCGCTGATGTGAAATTTTCTCATTTACACTCTCCCAAAGTGGAGGAGCTGCCCCCCCCCCCCCCCGATATGTGGAGCTTCACAGCCGTCAGAATGCAGCTGAATCAGCACGTGTGATGGCGACAGCTCCTTGTTCTGAAATTCAATGAGATTAAAGCAAACGGGAATGAAAAGTAGCGGCTGATGAGCGTTGAAGTCATTTATTTTCCACTTGAGATAAACTGAAGCCTTGAGGAGGATTTTGCCGGCGATCTTTAAGACGTGACAGTGTTTGTGTTTAAAACTGGAGAGTGTAGCTCACACGATGAGAGCAGAGCTCAAAGCCTCCTGAAACTGCAGGGTAGCACCTCAACGCCCTTGTTGCTCATCGTTTCTGCTCCTGTTTTACAAAAGACAAACTTTAGGAGCCTTCTGCAGAGGCTTAGCACAGAAACATTATGGCAACAATGCACACACACAAATGTTGTACGTGCACACAAACACTGTACGTGCACACAAACACTGTACGTGCACACAAACACTGTACGTGCACACAAACACTGTACGTTCACACAAACACTGTAAGTGCACACAAACAATGTACGTGCACACAAACGCTGTACGTGCACACAAACACTACGTACACACAACGTGAGCGGTTCACCAGACTGACTAGTGATGAGGAGCCTGCAGAGGAACACTCATCGTACATTATTTAAACTTGGTGAATTCATCACAGACCCATTCACACACCTGGATGGAGACAGCTGTAATAATGTGGCATGTGCACACATGTTAGTAACTACATGATGTCATCAGGCTAATGAGCTAAGCTCATTTTATTAATGCAGAGCCCATAAATCCTAATTTTACACAGTTAAACATTGGAAACAAATCATTTAAATCAATAAACTGAACATTATTTTAGGGAAAATAAGGTAAATGTGAATTATATTTTATTTTCATTTTATTTGGCAGCAACGATCTAAAAACCGTTGCGACAGGATGATGTTTCCCTCCATGAAGCATCGCCTCGTCTTCGAACAACATCCTGCAAATATCTCCGAACAGAAGATGGTTCTGTGGTTTTTGGAGCGGGTGTTGTCCCGTTCTGGTCTGATGAAGTACTCTGGATGTTTAACAGTCTTGGCTTTGGTTGGACGGGAGCAGGTGTTCTAAAAACGGTTTAGGTGTTTTTTTCCAGATGTGTAAGCTGTCCATGCCAGAGGCACTAATGCACCCCCATACAATCAGAGAGGCAGGTTTTTGAACTGTGCATTAATAATAACAGCCCAAATGGCTTGGACCCAGTTCTCTAAGTGTGTTGTCCCAAAAACATTAAGTTTGATGTGTTGACCACAGAACACTTCTGGACTTTGACTCAGTCCATTAGAATGAGCTTTAGTCCAGAGAAGACTGTCTTCTTTGCCTGATAGAGCTTTAAGCATCGTCTGTGGAGAGCACAGTGAACTGTGTCTTCAAGGTTCTGGAAGTCCTGAGCCCCTGTCATGAACAGAACCAGACCTGCTGGAGCTCAGAGACTTGGACAGATTGTTCTCTTGTAAAATTGCTCCACTGTTTCTGTTTACAGTTTTTTACAGACTGGTGAACTCCTGCGTGTGAGCTCAACGGAGGTAGCTAACCCAGCGCAGCGGCACTGAGGCGAGTCAGACTCACACTTTTAGTAAAACGTGCATTTGCTCCCAGTGGAGAATATTAGGAGGCACTGGGAGGGTGGATTTCTTGGATGTTTTTCTGTACTGAGAAGAAGGTGGAGGACTTCAGGTACGGATGGCCAATGAAGAGAAGGGTCCGGGTGATGGTGGTGGTTCTGTAGTGAATCCGGAGGTGAGCGGCGGTGGAGCAGCTAGACAATTTGAGGCCAAGGTAAAGGATCGCAGGAGTTCAAGGTAAGGCTCATCTTGGAGGCACAGAGGAGGAAAACAGGTGATCCAAGATTTGTTGTGAGGGAGGAAGGTTCTAGAAAACAGGTCAATCCTCATCCAGAGGAACACTGGGAGGCCGACAGCACCACGACTGGTATCTAATGCTCCAGCAGGGAAGGAACACTTTCACAGCGTTCAGGCCCCTGGACCTGGTCAGAGGAAATGGACCACAGCTGCTGGTCGTTGACTCCGCCCAGAACTCAGGAACCTGCAGAGAAAACACCTGAATCCTGCAGCCAGGCTCCGCCTCTCTAAAGAGCTCCTTTTGGACCCAGTTCTCTAAAAATGATTCATCTAAACAGCTGTTAAATGATCCTCAGATGATTATTGATCTGTGATTTATTCTTATGTTTACAGGTTTGTGTTGACCCTGTCCAAACTCTTTGAAGTGTGGTCATACATTTTATGACATTTACCTTTTTTTTTTTCTGAAAGTGTGTAACTTCTGGGACTCTTGTTGCTCTTCTCTCGTCTCTTGTCTGTTAATGGCAGCTCTGTCGCAGTGATCTTGGCTGACCCCTGCCATGTCTGGCAGCGTGAGCCGATTCCTCACATTTAGGAGACATTTCGCTGAATTTCAAGAGGCAGAAACATTTAGTTGGAGTCAGACATGTTCTGGTTAGATGAAGGTTTTTGGAGGCCAGGTTTGACTTCAGATAAATTCATTTTTTTTGTTGTTTTTTCCAATTTGTCAACATTTGATCAAATAATCAGGTTTTTTTTTCAAGTAGTCGTAAATTATGAACTCAAACATAGAAAGGTTGTCAAATGGTGCAGTTTGAAAGAGTTTGAACCAGCCAGATGTTTGAATAGCACTGACTCGATCAAAGCCATGTGGACGCTCGAGTCACGTGGTTCCCGTGTCCAAGAACTCCAAGAAAGTCCTTGTAGGTAAACAAATTTGGCAAAAGTGCACAAGCGTAAATATCCAGAGAAGCCGTTAGGTGGAAACATAAGAGGGAATCTGCTGCAAGATGATAAAGAAAAGAGAAAGGTCAAGTTACGTGTGTTGCATATTTTGTAAGAACTGAGAACACTTTTATTGAGGTGGATCGATAAGAACAAGAACAATGTTAGTCCTGACCAGGACATCTTTTACTTTTTGACAAACCCAAGTGCAGAACTTCTGGAGAGTGTTCAAACTTAATTGTACATTAACCAAACCTACCTGACCTTTCTGACCTTAATACTTGAGCTGCCGGACAACACAAGAACAAAGTTCTGCCTAGCTGACGTGTCGAGAACAAGCTGAGAGGATCTGTGTGTGTATCTGTCCTGCCCTCCTCGTGTTTGTCCCTCATGTGTTCAGCTCCGGCCTCTGCCACCTGTTGTCCTCCCCCAGGTGTGTGTGTGAGTTTATTCCTTCGTTAGTGTGTTTCTTTATTGTCCGGGGATTGTCCTGGATGACGTCGTGTTCTGTCCTCCCTCCATGTTTGCTAAGAAATGTAAGTTTTGCTGCCACATCAGCATTTATTTTTATTTAAATAAATTATTCATTTATACTTTGAGTCCTGTCTGCACCTTGGGTCCAACCTCAACACATGATCCATGATCCATGATCCAAGCTGCAAACACTCCCAAACCACAGCTGTGTGTGAGCAACAAGGAAAAAGTCTTTCTTTAAGCTGCTGGCTTGAAGAAGGAGCACGTACCTTTGATTGTCTGTGTACCTTTTGTGCAGAAACATCTGTATGAGGGATTGTGCAGAAACATCTGTATGAGGGATTGTGCAGAAACATCTGTATGAGGGATTGTGCAGAAACATCTGTATGAGGGATGTTTCTTGGACACATTTTTTGTTTTTGTTTTTCTAAATCAGATCGATTGCCTAAAACTGAATTTCAGAGTTCTTGCTACCTTTACGGTGTACAACATAGATAAATGTAAAGATATTGAGTGGAGGGTTACAACCCTGAACCTGAAGTCCTGCCTGTTTTAGTAAAGTGTGAGTTGTGATTCTGTGCACTGACACACTTGCTGTGCATCTCGAAGAACATCCAGACTTCTTGTAAGTGACAGAAGCACCGCGTTAAGTGTCTGAATTTACAGTTTTCCATTAAAATTTCAAGAGGAGCTGCTTAAAGCGAAGCTGCACTCTAACCACAGCTGACGGGCCCAAAGGGCCGCAGAAAGAGCAAAGTGTGGGTTCAGAGTGAGAAACAGCTGCAGCTAAAGCAGCTGCTGACACACCGACTCTGACAACAGCTGGAGCTTCACCTGCCCGAAGGCTAACGAGCAGCAAACGTTCTGTGTCACTCTGTTCCTTAACGTCAACTCTCCAGCTCAGAGTTGACGAGGTCAAAGCAGAATTTATTAGTTAATCTACAGTTGTAGTGCTGTGAAATATTCTAATATTGTTTATTACAAGTAATAAACAGATGACACATCTGGGCAGTCGCATGAATAAATTGTGACACTACACTCGAACCATATCAGTCCTGTTTTATGTTGGCAGTTATATATTTATTACTTTTGTGGATGCGTATTGTTTATTACCTTGTTCAGAGTCAGGGGTGGATCATTTCACAGTTTTATTGTGCAGGAGACAGACGGAAACAATAAGCCTGACGATTATTATGTTTGGATGTTTGCATAATTTTCCTAAATTGTAGAAATGCTTGTATTTATTTGCTTGATGTAGGAGTTTGTTGTGGAGTGAACACATCCAAACACACACAACCAAATATTGAACTAAATATTTTTCTTTGTTTTTGCATAATGAGACTCCTAGTCTGTTGTTTTATCCAGGAGCAGGAACAACGCTGCAAACATCGGAAGCTTCTGCTCCGTTTTCATTTGGATGTAATGATTTTCACTCGCAGGTCTTTGTGCAGCTCCAAAGGTGAACCGTTCTGTCCATCCGTGTGAGCACAGTCAGCTCGTTGCTTCTTGCTCAGCAGACGTTTCAGGAGTCGATGACCCCAACGTGTTTTCATGTGCTGTAGAGTGGGTGTTGATCTGAATCTGTCTGGATAGGACTGTTTGTCCTCACACCTGCACAACTGACAGGACACATTTAACACTGAGCTCAAAACTGATGTTGGTTTAAACGTTAAAGCTCCTCATTACAAAGTCATAAAGACCAGTCCATAAAAACATGCAGTTTGTTGGCTCCTCCCTCTTCAGGAGTCTTCACAGCAACTCAACCTCCTCCATCTCACCCTGTCCTCACCCTGTCCTCACCCTGTCCTCACCCTGTCCTCACAGCCTTCCCTCCTCGTGGTCTTCAACTAGCACCCTGGTTGTCAGCAGAACCGGTGGCGGTCGCTGTTAACCATTTACCTGGGCTTGGGACCAGAACCAGAGATGCACTGGCCTGTGATGACCTTTAATATAACGTTTGTGAGCAAATTAGTGATCGATGCCAACTACCATTTATGTTCATTTATCAGAAACAGCTAAATGGGCAGAAAATAGATAAAACGGTCAGAACGAACACAGAATAATTCATCCAGATTATCTGACTCAACCGTGTTAGATATGAGCTTGTTTAAAAGAAACGATAAATGAACCATTGTAGAGTTTTCACAACCGTTTCATGTTTTAAAGCTTTGCTCGGTCCTTTTGATGCTCCACTGTTCTGCCTGATATTTAGTCTTGGCAGCTCGTTTACTTGTTCATTTGCTTTTTTTTAAAACCAGATTGACCCTTTTTAAAAACCTAAATATCTCCAAGATGTGAGGCCTGTCTGTTCACCTGCACAGACCACGGCCAGCCCCATGGAGGTCAACAATCTGACCTTCCACGAGCTCTTCTGCTTGTTCATTCTGTGTGGACACACATTTCAGATGTACATTTTGATATATTCAAGGATTCAACGGATTTATTTCAATCTCATCACATGTGGCACATGAGGTGGAACAAAACTGTGTACACAGGGTCCCAGTTACATCCAACAAAAGTATGAAATGTAAAATAAAAATGGTAAAAAGATCTAAGATATGAACTAAGAAATATGCTAAACTAAAAATACACAAAGCACTAAGCATAAAAACAATACGCCAAACAGCAGCACGAACATGAGTCCGTGTGAACAGATGAGCACGAACATACACATCAACATGAAACAGATCAGCAGCTAAATGAAACAGATCAGCAGCAATATGAAACAGATCAGCAGCAACATGAAACAGATCAGCAGCAACATGAA